CATGGCTCTCGGTGAAATGGCTACAACTTTCCCAGTTGCAGGATCTTTTTCGGCTTACTCTACCCGCTTCATTGAGCCCGCTTGGGGATTTGCTATGGGATGGGTGAGTGTTGCATGTGGCGCTTCGTTACAGCGCGTCGCGACGCTGACACTATTAATGGATCTCTCCACCCGCTTTCCCTTTCAACCACTAATGCGCACCTGTAGAACTACTGGGCTCAATGGTTCGTTGTGCTTCCTCTCGAACTTGTTGCTGCCTCGATCGTCCTTCAGTACTGGGATCCGACGTACAGTCATGTGCCAGCCGGAGTATACATCATGATCTTCATGATCGCGATTATTATTATCAACCTGTTCGGCGTTCGCGGCTACGGAGAGTGGGAGTTCTTCGCTTCCTCAATCAAAATCTTGGCCGTTCTTGGCTTCATTATCCTTGGAGCTGTGATCACCGCCGGAGGTGCGCCCGATGGCCGATACCGCGGTGGAGAAAACTGGCACAACCCAGGCGCATTCGCCAACGGCTTCCAAGGATTCTGCTCCATCTTCGTCACTGCCGCCTTTGCTTTCGCCGGCACGGAGCTGGTCGGGCTTGCCGCTGCTGAGACGTCGAACCCCCGCAAAGAGGTTCCCAAAGCGTGCAAGCAAATCTTCTGGAGAATTTTGGTCTTCTACGTCGTCACCTTGTTCCTCATTGGATTGATCGTGCCCTACACTGAACCTAGACTCACCTCTGGCGCCACCTCGTACGACGCTCGTGCCTCTCCATTCGTCATTGCCATCGAAGATGCAAAGATCCGTGGACTTCCTTCCGTCATGAACGCCGTCATTCTGATCTCCGTCTTGTCTGTCGGTAACTCCGCCGTCTTTGGAGCCTCGCGCACTCTGTGCGGTCTCGCTCAGGTGCGTGGATGCAGTTCAGCGGCGATCGTGCTCAGCGCTGACATTCCCCCCTTCCCTCACCCTTCCAGAGCGGCCAAGCACCCAAGGTCTTCAGATACATTGACCGCGAGGGACGTCCTCTCCCAGCCGTCGCCGTCAGCCTCATCTTCGGAGCACTCGCCTTCCTTGTGTACGCTGGTGAGGATGCCAACAACACCACCTTCAACTGGCTGCTCGCCCTCTCCGGTTTGTCTTCCATCTTCTCTTGGGGATCGATCTGTCTCGCGCACATTCGTTTCCGCGCAGCATGGGCTCGCGCCGGTCACACACTCGAAGAACTTCCATGGACGACGCCTACAGGCGTTTATGGCAGCTGGTTTGGCTTCCGTGAGTCTGACGGGAAGTCAAGATACCATGTAACGACGAGCAACTTACATCAATGTCCCCCACCAGTGTTCAACATTCTTGTTCTCGTCTTCCAAGCCGTGAAGGCGGCGTGGCCGATTTCTCCTTCAGATACTCCAGCAGGCAGAGCATCGGACTTTTTCCAGTCCTATTTGGCGTTCCCTGTCGTCATTGTTTGCTACCTGGTCTGCAAGGTGGTCACCAAGTCCCGTGTCATCCGCATCGACGAAGTCGACTTGTCCACCGGCCGTCGGGACCCCGTTCCCGTTCAGGTACTGAGAGCTGAGCGCGAGGAGGCCGCTGCTCAGCCCTTCTACATCAAGCTCTACAAGTTCCTGTGCTGTGAGTTGCCTTTGGAATAAGCCGATCATGGTAATGGTAGCTGATTGTCTACGCCCCCTTTCCACAGAGATGATATGATAAGGACAAAACTTTCCCATCTCGACTTTTCTTGTGGTCAGCGCGCACTCACGAGCAACCTAGTGAGCCAAATGTCACGATGTGTAACGCGACGGAAATTTACACTGTGTTCTGAAGAATTGATATGATGTACCAAGTCTGTGTAAACTTTGTGACGATCACTACGCGGTACAGCAACGGTATGGTATGCTTTGTCGCACGAAGGTGAAACATGATTTAGTAGCATCGCTCGGCAAACCACTCAATATCGAACCGTGATGAGGAGTGAGCACCACTGCACCTCTGCCCTGCTCTGTTGCGTATTTGGCGCATCACATTCACATTCGAGATACTCTGAACCCGCGTCCTCATCACTTTGTGGTGGTGGCTGCTAAGAAGCGCTCGAGGCTGCTGTAGGTGGGCGTAACCAGAGGTGTACAAAATTCACTTCCGCACAGAAGGCTCCCGCCCACACACACACTGCGTCTAGCTATCCTACAGATTGCAAGGGTTTGAGCTTCTGCGTCAAGGCTTCGTGACGCGCAAGAGCAACACCATCTCACAAGCTCGCCATTTGCTGTGGGCAGCAGTGCCATGATTCGGCATTCAGAGATTGGCCGCCGACGCTGCGCCTCTTACTGAATGATGTTGCCTTTATGACGCTGTCGTAAAGCATGCGTGATTCTGTGCTAATTTGCGAGCCGCTGATTCGTCTCTGGTTCGTGATCTGCGCTCCGTCCGGCCGCGCACCGTATCGGCCGACAAAAATTGGGCCGCGCGTGACGCTCGTGGAATTTTTGCTGCACCGCATTTCAGCGCCTTCGTTCCCATGCCCCTCTTCCTGGCTTCCTTCGTGACCAAATCCCCGCCGACGCCCGATCGAGTCAACTCTTCTCTACCGCTTCGATACCACCGCACTTCTTTCTACCTATAACGAAAACCGAATTCACGATGGCGAAACCTCGTCAGCGCAGGAAGTCGCGTTCGGGCAACTCGAACGGAGCCTCGCAGAACGCGAAGAGGAACATGAAGAAGAGACTGCATCGAGCGCCCGCCATCAAAGGTCCCGACGTCCTCAGGGAGAATTGGGACAAGAAGCTTACACCCAGACAAAAGTGAGTGCGCTCGTAGGCACCAAGGTCTGACTGAAGCAGCTTCGCTGATCAAATTTGATTTGACCACCTTGCGATCTGCTGTTGACAGCTTTGCAAAGCTAGGCTTGTTGTCTGATTTGCGATTGCGCGATAGTGGAGGTGCGGAATCGCTCAAGGGACTACCTCTGAGCATCACTGGCTCGAGCAGGACCTTTGGGGCACAAAGCTCCAGCGCTGCCCCAGTGGTCAGAAAGGGCATGGGACGCATCACACGCGATGCGGATGGCAATGCACAGGTTGTAGAGGATGAAGAAGAGGATGAAGAGACGCCTTGGGGCAGACCACTCGATACCTTTGGACACGAAACAGTGCAAATGGATGAGCGCATGTATGTGATGAGAGCGCCGACGGACAATGAAGACGGCAATGAGGGTGAGGATGAGGACCAGAGAAGTACGAGCGAAGAGGTAGACGATCTGGCCGGCGGAAGTCAGGAAGCCATGCGGCCCTTGCCCGAGGCTGCTCAAGGCGCGTCTGCCAAGACAAAGGTCGTCGAGTGTGAGTAACCTTGAAGAGCTCGTTCGTGCGCACGGGCGAGAGCTGACGTCCCCGTGCACCCGACGTCCCTACTGCACCTTTAGCTCTGGAAGCGCTTGCAGCCACAGCACGACCGGTACCTCGGCACCAATCCATCCTAGAGAGAAGTTGGCTTCAAAGATTGGTAGAGTCGCACGGAGACGATGTGGAAAGCATGGTCGTGGACAAGCGCGGAAATCCCTGGCAGAAGACGGCAGGAGAGATCAGGAGAGCGTGAGTGACGCGCACTCTGACTGCTTGTGATGGTAGGCTTTTGGTCGAGCTGTGATGCTGATTCTGGTGTCTCAATGCTCTGTAGGATCAAAAAGGCTGGAGGAGTGGCAGCCATCCGAGCTTCTCTGTAGGCTTTTGCACAATTCGCCTCTGATCATGCCTACTCGGCGCTACGCACCACCGTAGCACTGTGCGCTCACAATGTGCAGCTGGCCGTCTAGCGCACTTTGACGCGCGCGCCTCGAGTTCACCATCTCGAAGCTCACCCAGAAAAGCAGGGCTCGAGACTTCCAATGCCATTGCTGAGGGAATATTCTTGCAAATCCTCGATCGCTAGCAGATGGCCCTTGTCCGAGTGGAAATTCGCCCGCGTTGCAGAGCATCTCGACTTCGCTCTTTTCAATCTGCCTGCGACGCTCAATGCGGAAACCTCGGGGCAGCTTTGCAATCTTTCAGGCTAACACCAGCTTGTACTATTGGCAAGAACAAATTGCTGCTGTTGCGTAAGCTTCACCAACTCTGATAGACACTCGACCTTATTCGAGCCTATGCTGGTTCTGCTGGAAATAATTGCATGCCCATTTTCGATCTTCACCACGAAGAACTCTAGTGATCATGCGCACCCGCTGGCGAGCAGAGTCGCAGGTGAGCCTTCCCCAGAGCAACAACCATCACGAATGCTTGCCAATTCCTGTTGTTGCGTGCTCAATTTCTCTCTCGACTCGCGCTCGAGACTGAAACACTTGCCTAGACTCTGACTGGTCATGCCCCAGCTTAGCCCCGCGGTGCGGGCCGCTACGTGCATCGTCGCACATGTGATGCAGGTAGCAGATACCTCCCGCATGCGACGTGAGCCATCTCGATGTCGGAGGGAAAGCAAGCAGCTTCGTTGGGCACGGCAGACTTTGGCTGCTTGGTAAGCCATGACTGTGATAAGACCAGAAAACGCAGTCCAACCTCGAGGCATTCTACACGAGATCTGACAGCCAAGTAGCTCAGGGCATGGGCGACGGCGGTGCGTGTTGCGCCACATTCCGTCTCGATTGACCGATGCTGGAGGAAGCGCAAAGCACCGTGCCTTTCGGACCTTGAAGCAAATTAATACTGTCCGTGAAGATCGGCGAGCAAGGCCGGCCTCGCGACTGGTCGCCCATCAGGTGGCCAGGGTCGTCGCGGCCGATGATCGCAAGATCAGCATCGGCTCGAGGCGCGATGTGCGGGCTGATTCATGCGTCGCCAATGTGGGAGCGCCATTCTGACTGAAGAGTACTTGAAGAATTTGCAATGCTCTTTGCGAAGGCACGATATGTTTGGTATATTTTACATTGAGGCGCCGGCGACTGCGCACTGGTGTGTCCTTGAGTTCAAGAGCGATCGGCGATGGAGTAGCTGTTCGCAAAGCAGACGCTCGGGTCAGCTGTGCACCAGGGTTGACGTTCACCGCGAAGGACTATACGAGCTCACCTTCCATAATCTTTGCCCATCTCGAATTGCTCCCAGCGAGATGCGGGAAAAATGTGCTTGTTGCGATTGTACCATGACCTCTCGACGACTTTGCCAGCGTGCGACTGAACGAGCGTTGGAGTGTGGATGAGATCTGATGCGAATGTAAGCTTGCTTGCTTGCGATGATCCAAAAGCTGGTGGAAAATCGTTTTGTGACGCACCTCGTCTTTCTCAACACGAGCATCCGAGATCATTCGAATGTCTTCGTGGACGTCGAAGTTGAACAGTGGTCCACTCTTGCCTCTGCTCTTGTTGACGATGAAGTCGTAAAAGGTGTAGTGGTGCGGGATGATCAAATCCTCCTGAGAATGGGAGAGAGCGATGTCAGCGTGAAGTGATAGCGATCCGATCTTTCTCGCTGCCTCACCTTGATGTACATCAGATTGTCGACAGACTGTGTGCGCAATTCGGTGAATTGCTGTCTGCACTTTTCGAGGAATTGCGCGACCGAGTCTCCTTTGAGGCACTGTCGTGGACGAATTGCTCAGCTGCAGATCGAGGAGAGCTCTGAAACGGCAAGGAGCTCACCTTGACTGAACGTCGATGTCCACTACCGTCCCAGTAAGAATATGTAATCTCAATCTCTTCCTTTTTCATCGTCTCTTGCTTTGCCAACCATTCCTTTCTGAGTGCTTCCCTCTCGTCAGCCTCTCTCTGCTCTCGATCTCTGTCCGGCAAGAAGGAAGTGTCTACGCCGGGATTTTTAAGGTTTGCTCTGACCTTGACCGCTTCGCTCTTGACCTTTTTCGTCACTGGAGCCGCGTCCTCTTCGTCTTCATCTGCAAAGGATAGCGTAGCCTTTGGTTGCTTTTTGTCCTTCTTCTTCTTCTTCTCGGGTGCGCTGTGCAGGAAGAGGGCAATCTGAGCGTGCTACGCTGTGCATCATTGAGCGCTCCTGTCTCAACATTCTCACCCCCCCGCCGCCGCCTTGCCGTTCAACTTTCTCTTCTCCTCTTCCAGCTCTTCGCGCTTCCTCTTGAAATCCTCCGCAGTGACCAAACCGACAGTCTGCTTCTTCAAGGACTCTTCAATACTCTCCGAGTTTCCTACGAATCTCTCATTCGCCCCTCTAGCATTCTTCTCCGCTTGGGCTGCCAGATCAGCCTTTTGACGCTCGAACTCGGACAGCATCTGAGAGCGAGCTGCAGCATGCTTGTC